GCGCAGGTCCTCCATCTGATCTGGATACGGCCCGGATCCGGCTGACTACATCATGTGTTGTGGTCGTGTCTAGGCGCAGGTCCTCCATCTGATCTGGATACGGCCCGGATCCGGCTGACTTCATCATGTGTTGTGGGCGTGTCTAGGCGCAGGTCCTCCATCTGATCTGGATAAGGCCTGGATCTGGCTGACTACATCATGCGTTGTGGTCGTGTCTAGGCGCAGGTCCTCCATCTGATCTGGATACGGCCCGGATCCGGCTGACTACATCATGTGTTGTGGGCGTGTCTAGGCGCAGGTCCTCCATCTGATCTGGATACGGCCCGGATCCGGCTGACTACATCATGTGTTGTGGGCGTGTCTAGGCGCAGGTCCTCCATCTGATCTGGATACGGCCCGGATCCGGCTGACTTCATCATGTGTTGTGGGCGTGTCTAGGCGCAGGTCCTCCATCTGATCTGGATACGGTCCGGATCCGGCTGACTTCATCATGTGTTGTGGTCGTGTCTAGGCGCAGGTCCTCCATCTGATCTGGATACGGTCCGGATCCGGCTGACTTCATCATGTGTTGTGGTCGTGTCTAGGCGCAGGTCCTCCATCTGATCTGGATACGGCCCGGATCCGGCTGACTACATCATGTGTTGTGGTCGTGTCTAGGCGCAGGTCCTCCATCTGATCTGGATACGGCCCGGATCCGGCTGACTTCATCATGTGTTGTGGTCGTGTCTAGGCGCAGGTCCACCATCTGATCTGGATACGGCCTGGATCCGACTGACTTCATCATGTGTTGTGGTCGTGTCTAGGCGCAGGTCCTCCATCTGATCTGGATACGGCCCGGATCCGGCTGACTTCATCTTGTGTTGTGGTCGTGTCTAGGCGCAGGTCCTCCATCTGATCTGGATACGGCCTGGATCCGGCTGACTTCATCATGTGTTGTGGTCATGTCTAGACGCAGGTCCTCCATCTGATCTGGATACGGCCCGGATCCGGCTGACTACATCATGTGTTGTGGTCGTGTCTAGGCGCAGGTCCTCCATCTGATCTGGATACGGCCCGGATCCGGCTGACTTCATCTTGTGTTGTGGTCGTGTCTAGGCGCAGGTCCTCCATCTGATCTGGATACGGCCCGGATCCGGCTGACTACATCATGTGTTGTGGTCGTGTCTAGGCGCAGGTCCTCCATCTGATCTGGATACGGCCCGGATCCGGCTGACTTCATCATGTGTTGTGGTCGTGTCTAGGCGCAGGTCCTCCATCTGATCTGGATACGGCCCGGATCCGGCTGACTTCATCATGCGTTGTGGTTGTGTCTAGGTGGGTTTTTTGTCTAATAATTTGTTTGTCTAATAATTAGAATCTCTGTGTTTTCTGAATTATGTAATAGGAAATTAGTAATCATCCAATTTTTTCATATCAGCCTTGCATTCCGTCAATATATATTTATTAAATGTCTGAGTTTGACCGCAGCAGATTTATAAATGTTTGTAAACCATTCAGAAGGTGCTGCTGTAAGATATTGTATGCTGTTGTATTGTAATGATGTTTTAGCCTCTCTCCCTTCTGTTCCGGTGGTCTCGAGGACAGATACGATCCATCAGGGACCCTCAGGTTTCTCTCGCCTGAGTGACAGCAAACACTCACAGTGAGAATGAAAGACTGCAAGCGTCTGTCCGTGACTAAGAGAACATTTCTAAAAGCTTCTGGTCAAGAGCAGCTCATGTTTTGACGTTTAAAGAGTCTCATCAAGACAAGGAGAGTCAGAAGACTAACACTCACACACACTCACACACACACACACACACACACACACACACACACACACACACACACACACACACACACACACGCACAAACACTCTCTCTCTCTCTCACACACACACACACACACACACACACACACGGCTCTCTCACTCTCACACACACACACACACACACACACACACACACTCTCTCTCTCTCTCTCTCCCTCTTTCACACACACACACATTTTATATACTTTATTTGATTCCACATTACAAGTTAATTTCATTTGGAATCAAATTTTTTGAATAATCCAACAGATTAAAACAAATCAGCACATTGTTATGAATTACTAAGGGTTAAGAGTTCTAAGGATACAGGAAACATCGTCTTTTCCAAATAAACATGCTTCCTATAGTTGCTGAGATTGAACAGTACTTTGCCAACTGTTTGGCCCTTGTTTTAGAAATCCCCCCAATACAAAGTCCACGGACCGCCAGCCTGTGTACATGACCTAGGCTACCAAACACACACACACACACACACACACACACACACACACACACACACACACACACACACACACACACACACACACACACACACACACACACACACACACACACACACACACACACACACACCACCAGCCTGTGTACATGACCTAGGCTACCAAACACTAGCACAATAAGTCGGCATCTGTACCCAAGGTTCTCAATGGTCGATATCAATGACTGATATTTTAGAGTCTTAGAGCAGTAAGACTCCTCCATAAACAAGTCAAATGCACATGACACCTCAAATAGTGTAACTTTTTTGCCATTCTGAGAGATGTTAACAATATCAGGCGTATTAGCCATTCCTAAGAAAGTGTTTGCAGGAGAGTTGAACCATTCGGACTGTACAGTAGTGTGTTTAAAGATCTGCTCATCAGCCACGCAGGGAATCTGAGCAGCGATGAGGTCCACGAGTCTGTCATGTCTGGCAATATACAGTCCTTTCAGTGCTGAGCAACTGTTCATGATGTGGGCGACTGACTCCAGGTGTTGAGGGGGGTGTGCAGCATGCAGAGGGGCGAGTGGGTGGAGGGGAACCACAGCGATGGGTGTATTTTGTAGGAAGAACCTGCAGACGTGCTTTCACACAGAAGATGAGGATCTCCTCACTGATGGTGGCATTGCTGTAGATGGAGTGTGATACGGAGTGGTCCGCGCAGGGCAGTTTTGCCAACTTTCCCTGGAGTTTCAGACTGGTCCAGTACTCCACACACACACACACACACACACACACACACACACACACACACACACACACACACACACACACACACACACACACACACACACACACACACACACACACACACACTCTCTCTCTCTCTCTCACACACACACACACACACACACACACACACACACACACACACACACACACACACACACACACACACAATCTCTCTCTCACACACACACACACACACACACACACAATCTCTCTCTCACACACACACACACACACACACACACACACACACACACACACACACACACACACTCTCTCTCTCTCTCTCACACACACACACACACACACACACACACACACAATCTCTCTCTCACACACACACACACACGCACGCACGCACGCACTCTTTCTCTCTCACACACACACACACACACACACACACACAATCTCTCTCTTTCACACACACACGCACGCACGCACTCTTTCTCTCTCTCTCTCTCTCTCACACACACACACACACACACACACACACACACACACACACACTCTCTCTCTCTCTCTCACACACACACACACACACACACACACACACACAATCTCTCTCTCACACACACACACACACACACACACACACACACACACACACACACACACACACACACACACACACACACACACACACACACACACACACACACTCTCTCTCTCTCTCTCTCACACACACACACACACACACACACACAATCTCTCTCTCACACACACACACACACGCACGCACGCACTCTTTCTCTCTCACACACACACACACACACACACACACACACACACTCTCTCTCTCTCTCACACACACACACACACACACTCTCTCTATCTCTGTCTCACTCTCTCACATACACACACACACACACACACACACTCTGTTGTTCATCCATGTAGAAAGGCAGCATGATAAGATCCGCAGCTCCTCGATAAGACGCAGATGGAGAAGCTTGTGGATGAAATGATAACATCCTCTTTCTCTTCTTCTCTCCCAGAGGAACACACACTCTCTTTCTCACACACACTCACTCACTCACACTCTCTATCTCTCTCCCAGAGGAACACACACTCTCTTTCTCACACACACTCACTCACTCACACTCTCTATCTCTCTCCCAGAGGAAGACGCGGGCGTCACACTGAACAAATGAATGCAAATACCAGGAAAAAGCTGCTGTGGATCCGCATGGACGGTCCGATTGGCTCAAAGTGGAGATGATTCCTGCGACTGAAAAAGACGAAAGATAGAGGATAGAGAGAGAGAAATAAACAGACTGAGCGATACGAGTGAATCTATCTGAGATACAGATGAGTTTATTAGTGTGTTTGGAGAGATTAGACAGAAGTTGCGTGGGATCAGTGCTGTAAACGCAAGAAAAATACATTTCATTTAAAAAACCACAAAAATCAAAAACCACAACAAAATAGATTTGGCAGAAGGCTTTTAATGATATTAAGACTGGTAATGATATCTTCCCATTCTTAAATAAAATTCTGATTACATATATTTTATTTAGTCTGAAAACTGATTTCTTGCTGAAGCAGCACTGGCCTGAGCTCAGCTGGAGAGCCGCTGAACTCTTTATCCCTGAAGCAAACGCTAAAGCACTTATTAATACAGGAGACGACTGCAATAAAGTTGCTGATGAGCAGAAGTTTAGAGAAAGAAGGAACTCAGTTTTGTTTGATCACTATATCATTTCCATCTGTGTTAATAAACACTATTATTCTAACATGTGGAAAATGATGGATTATTGATGGACACTGATAAACTCACTAAGATGAACATGATGAGGTGTGTGTGTGAGAGAGACAGTGTGTGGGTGTGTGAGAGAGAGAATGTGTGTGTGTGTCTGTAGCCTATGGCTATGTGTAGGTGTGTGTGTGTGTGTGAGGGGCGTGTCAGGTGTCGTGTTTCTCTTTTGTCACCTGCAGCATTAAATCTTTGGCCCATTCCCCATCAGTAGCACAAACACTCACACGCGCGCGCGCAGTGATGGACTCCAGCAGCGCGCGCTTCTCGCTCCTCGCGCCGCACGCGACGCACGCGACGCTCCTCCTCAGGCAGGGCGACAGGAGTTTCCCGCGCAGCCCGAAGTGCGCGCGCTGCCGGAATCACGGGATGGTCTCGGCTCTCAAGGGACACAAGCGCTTCTGCCGCTGGCGCGACTGCGCGTGCGTCAAATGCGCGTTGATCGCGGAGAGGCAGCGCGTCATGGCGGCTCAGGTGGCGTTGCGGAGGCAGCAGGCGCAGGAGGAGCTGCAGCTGATCTACCCCGCGGCAGGAGCGACGCAGGGCGGCGCGAGCGTCTCCAGAGCAGCGCTGAGCGCGTTCGACGCCTTCAGGCCGGACGGTAGATGATTTTAAGCTGTTTTAATAGTGTTTTGGTTTAAATGTGGACCGAATCAGTCCTAAGTAGATTCGTGTTCAGTCAGTTTTAAAGTTAAAGGATATGTAGCTTTTTATTGTGTATAGGCTTATTAGGCTATAGGTAATTTTTCTACAATGATGTAGCAACTTAAATATTAATATAGCCTATTGAATAATTTTGTCAATATTAGAAACATACATATACATACCTACTACAAATAATAATATAATATATAGGGTAACACTTTATAATACTGTTCCTTCATTAATGAATAACTACACAGGAACAAATGAGTAACACACTATTAACATTCTATTAACTAACAAGAAACTGGTTAACTAATTAGTAAATAATAGCGCTCAGTTGAATGTGGTAGGCTAGTTCACTATTAGCTTATCAATAACTACTATTTTTTTTCAAACCTTCCAGAGAACTGTATACGGGTTCATAATTAACATGAATAATGCATACTGTAGAATATGAGGTAAAGGTAACCCACTAGTAATGACTCAAGTGTTACTACATTCTTCTAAACGAACTACTATTTGGATCAGTATTCTAAAGTGAAAAGCTTGATAACTACTTAATATTGACTGAAGTCATTGTAAGCTTTTGAGTTTTTTTTGTAAGATTTTGAATAGTTATTCCTTCAGATGGATTTGGTAACACTTTAGTCATTACTACTGTGTTCCCATGATCCTCACTTTAAAATACTGATCCAAATTATTATTAGTTCCTTTAGAAGGATGTAGTAACACTTGATACATTACTAATGGGTTACCATTACCTTATGTATACAGGTTCATAATTAATATTAATAATTGCGTCAACAGAAGTCCTCGCAGGCAGAAAATGCGTTTCAGCAGCCAGCGCCGGCAGCCAAAACGCTTCCCTCCTAAACACCAGGGACCCCAACCTAAAATAACGCTGGACTGGAGAAGCAGTCCTGATCCGCCAGGAAGGAAGAGGGGAGGGCTAAGTCTTGCTGCGGCCGGACCACCCTCCAAAAAGTCTTGAGTGTCCCTTCAAACACCCTGTTCAGTTCCGGCTGTTGGAGTAAATGTTACAATTGCGGAGTATGGGCCTGTTCAAGTTCACGCACCCATGCAATTGACCGCTGTTATAGCGAACAAAATAAAATGAAAAAATACTCAATTCAGTATGTCAGACCCTCGCTTCACAGGCATAGTCAATACTACGGTGAAGAGCGATGTGGCTCACCTCCTCCGCACCGAAGTAATGAGCTCACTGGCGAAAAGAGCTGTGGAACGGTCCCTCCACCCCACAGCGAGTCAGGCTTCTACTGTCGGTACTTCCTTGTTCCCAAGAAGGATGGTGGCCTTAGGCCCATCCTAGACCTCAGACATCTAAACCATGCCCTCATGAGACGTTGGAAGAACCCCAATCGTTACCAGATTGGAGTAAACATGAGGTTGGTCTCCACAGACGCCTCCAACGCAGGTTGGGGAGCTCTGTGCGAAGGCAGACCGACTTACGGCTCCTGGTCGAGCACGGAAAAGTGGCTGCATATCAACTGCCTCGAAATGATGGCAGTTTTTCTAGGCCTCAAAACCTTCCTACCGGACCTAATAGGACACCACGTCTTAGTTTGATCAGACAACATAGCGGTAGTATCCTATGTAAACCACCAGGGTGGACTCAAATCGCAGCCTCTATACAGACTAGCCCGACGCCTCCTGTTATGGGCACAATGCAACCTGCACTCTCTGAGACCGGTGCATGTGCTGGGCAGACTGAAGCAGGGAGCAGACATGCTGTCCCGAGACAATGTGTTCCCAGGGTAATGGTCTGTCCACGAGACGTCTCTACGCTCTTAAGTGGTCCGTCTTCTCTGATTGGTGTTCAGTCCGGAACCAGGACCCTTTCTCATGCAAAGTACCCCTGGTACATCCCTTCCTACCCCCTCCACGCTCAAAGTCTATGTGGCGGCCATATCAGCGCACCATGCTCTGGTGGCCGACCAGTCATTGGGTAGAAGAGATCTAGTCGTCCGCTTTCTGAAAGGGGCTCAACCCGCCTCATCCTCTTACCATACCCCCTTGGGAATTATCCACAGTTCTTAGGGCCCTCAAAGGCCCCCCGATCAAACCACTGCAGTCGGCTGAACTCCGACCACTTTTGCTCAAGACCACATTACTGCTAGCATTAGCATCGCTCTCCGTCAGCTCTTCCTGCCTTGAGTTTGGGCCTAAGGACTCCAAAGTCATCCTCAAACCGAGGCATGGCTATGCGCCCAAGTGCTTTCTACTCCGTTCAGAGCACAGATGATTACGCTGTCCGCTCTCCCTGACTCAGAAGACAAGCATCAACTCCACTTACTATGCCCCTTTTGGGCCTTAACCCTCTGGGGACCAGAGTGTTTTCGGGGCCCTTGGGATGTTTTGACATGCACTGACATTTGTGCTTTTTTCAGTTATTTATAAACATGTTAATGGCAAAGGTGTAAATTCACTCTATATAGCACAGACGGGACTACCATGATAAGTGAGCAACATGTATGTACATGTTTGTATTTTTAAGAGAATAATGTTTATGCGTGGTTTTTGAAAAAAAATTACAATGAAAGTTGCTGAAATAAGACCACAAAACACATTGATTATTTCTTCACAAGACTTTTGAAAATTGTATCACATAGCCTAGAATATTTGCTCCAAAACTATGTGAGAATCATCCTGACTACTCATTCAGATAAGTCAATAAAGTATTTTACATTTTTAATGACGTGTTTTGTGTCAGAAAGCTTTATGCAGGAGGCGTGATCTCTCATTAATATGTATGGCATTTCACACTTGAGAAAGACAAAGACCCTCCCATAATGGCCCTATTAGGTGCTATCAGGCCATATCATTACAGGAGCCTTGCACAAAGAATGAGGAGATTTAAAAAAGAATGGCTTTTAGATTGTTTGGATTTATATAAGGAAAATACAGGGTGCATACGTCTGGACACTTCTATCACACACCCTTCACCATAAGGACATGGTTTTATTTCAGTTCAAAGTTCAAAGTTAGAGTTGGAAACATCTTGAAAAGAAAATTGTCTTTTTCCATAAATGTCTTAGTTTGATCATACATATTTCAAAGTTGAGGATTCATTATTTTGATATAGCTTGAACAAACACTATAACATCTTAGTTGATTAGTTTATTGACAAAACATACTATATATTATAACATACTAACATATGAGCAGAAACTCCTAAAAAAAGCTTATTTGATGTCTATTTTAGAGTAAAAACTTTATCCAAAACGAGTCAACGAAATGTTGTCTGTTATTTAGTCTGTAACAGTACGTATCTGTGCGTTCATTCATTCATTCATTCATTCATTCATTCATTCATTCATTCATTCACACACACACACACACACACACACACAAAAATGATTCACAAAAACAGTATGCTATTTTTCCGTTTACAGACACTAACGTTATTCTATATACGTTATTAGACTATAAACGTTAACTATAAACGTTATTAGAACAAAGCACTTGCATAAAACACTTACTTCTCAGCTGAATCTGTTCATCCTCGAAGTGAAAATAAACCAGCACTTGTTCTGTGGTAAATTGTCCCAGGATTGTTCCTCATATAGCCGCGCAAGACAACAGTAGATTAATCTGACTAAAAAATAATGTGTGTTTTCAGAGTTTATGGGCGCTAACGCGTCTCAATGTGTTGCTTCACATATTTGTGTTTGAATAGCGCGTGCTCTCCGTGGGCGTGTCACATTACCAGGGATAATCAGCTGAGAGAACGATAATGAGACGGGCTGACACGTCTCTCTTTTTATTTAGATGACATAAACGGAGAATATTAATTTTAGTTTTGAATCGGATCATTTAAAAGTACAAACTCAAATGATTTAAAAGATATATTGCTTATGGCTGGGTGAATAGTATTAGCTGAGTTGTGTTGAAGATTAGAGACGTGCTCCAGAAAAAAAGTTCACGGTGACCGAGAGGCAGAACGCACACCCTGTTTATTTTCTTTATTTTACAAAAGCACAATATTTTATTTCGATTGTATGTGGGCACATAAAAAAGTAGACATTTAACAGATTATTTTCTCATATTTCTTAGCTCTATATGAACAGAAATGATGGTAGTACTTTAAGTCTATTTTTCTGCTATGTGAAAAAAAACGAGCAAAACGCGCCGACGCGTTTCTGGTCCCCAGAGGGTTAAGGCTATATATGCAGCGTTCGGATGATTTTAGACAGTCAGAGCAGCTTTTCGTATGCGTCGGTGGCCGGACCAAATAGCTTTCGGTCACGAATCAGAGACTATCCTGTTGGATAGTAGACGCTATTTGCTTATACTTATGTGCTATTGGCTTATGGCGTCGACTTATACTTCGGTGGGCCTTCAATGCCCCATCAGCGTCAGAGCTCACTCCACTTGGACATGGCCTCGTCCTGGGCGCAGTCCAGTGGCGTGTCTATTGATGACATCTGTGCGGTGGCTGGCTGGTCCTCGCCGTCCACCTTCACCAGGTTTTACAATCTGAAGGTCTCTGCGCTGCAGGCACAAATACTCTCTGTGTAGATGCCAACCCACTGCCATCCTTTCCAGGGGCTCCGACTGCAGTCCAAGCCTTTTTTAGGCCATATCGTACCCTTCCTTAGTCCTACCGTATAGGGACCCTCACCTGGGCGTTCCAGTCTAGGACCACAGAACATGTTGTTCTGCTCACATAGCACGGCGTGGTTGTATTGGTTCCCCATAAGTGTCTAGCGACGCAATACGAGTAAATGTTTATAAAGGGAACGACTCGGTTACTTACATAACCTCGGTTCCCTGAGATAATGGGAACGAGTATTGTGTAGACGGCTGTGCTAATTCGCACAGCTTCGTCGCTTAAGTCTAATTAAACCTGATTCCCATGGCGAAATGAGCTGATTTTATAGGCAGACGCCCCGCCCGTTTTGGCGGGCTGTTCTCTCACTCGGTGGAACGCACCGCGATTGGCTCACGCAGACACGCTGCTTCACCATAGGTACGTGCAGTACGTCCAATGAGCATGCTCAGATCGCCGCTCTATTATGGCTGTGCTGTGGCACTGCGTTTTTGAATTAAAGGCTTCAATATTTGGAGAAAAGGAGTTTTCCCCATAAGCATCTAGCAAAGCAATACTCTTCCCATTATCTCAGGGAAGTCGTTTCTTGTTAGTTAATAGTAGTTAGTAGAATGTTAATAGTGCGTTACTCATTTTTTCCTGTATAGTTATTCATTAACGAAGGAACAGTATTCTAAAGTGTTACCCAAAAACTGTTATAATAATAGTTCAGAAAGCAGTGTGATTGTCCCTGTTTCATAAGAGCTCAGATCTATTTAAGGCGACAATGTGAATGCAGAGAACTGATTTTCCCACTACAGTGTTTGAACTCAGAATCTGTCATTAGCAAACTGTTCTGACACTGTGCTTTATTCTTGCAGAGAAAAGCCTTCAGAAGTGCAGCATGTTGAGTGGGTTGGTGGATCAGGCGTTCTTCACCTCAGGAAAGAGTGACCCGTCTCCTGGACCGGATCTGGAGTCGGAGAAACAGTGGGAAGCTCCCGGGCGAAACCCCACTGCCGTCCTGATGAAGATCTTCCCTCAGGTGGAGCGGGACGCTCTGGACTCGGCGCTGGAGGCCGGATCGGGAGACGTGGTGAAGGCCATCGAGCTGCTGCTAGGCACCCGGGAGGGTCAGAGGTCAAGCGGAGCCGGCGGCTCTCGGGAGGGTCAGAGGTCAAGCGGAGCCGGCGGGTCACGAGGACACTCCAGTTCGGCCTTCTCTCCGCTCCACTCTTCTTCGTCTCACTCGTTCAGCGACGGGATGTTGGGGTTTAACCCTGGGTTTGCGATCGGCCCGCTGAGACTCTATCCCACACCGAACTTCCTCCCGCCGCTCCTGACGTCTGGGTTCGTCCCGATGACCCTGCGGCCGCCGGCGGACTATCGGCTCCTGCGGGACCTTCCGTATCCCAGAGACTCCTTCAACCCTGCGGTGTTTCACTCCAGCCTCGACCGGGACAAATAACCAGACCACAGTCTCCGGCTTTCCCAATAAACCAGAGTATGGACCATGAATCCAGATGTTAACCCTTGTGTGACCTTATGGACATTTTGGTCTCTTTCAGTTTTTTTTTTTTTTGTATCATTTTGCCTGTTAATGCCAATTCATTTCGGTACTGGTGTGTATTTTTATTGGAATTTTACTATTTTACCCCCTTTTCCTTTAATAAACCTATATTGCACTAGTAACGCAAAGTTCCACTCAGGACCTTTTGGACAAAAAATTCCCCATTGAAACCCATTAAACCTACTATTTTTAATCCCAGGGTCATTCAACTATAAAATGATGCAATCCTTGTTAATAGACTTTCATTCTTCACTTCAAAATTGACATTTTTTACCAGATGCGCTTTATTCCTGTTTTCTGCACATTATAGAGCCAATTGGATAAAATATGCAGCTATAATTGTGTGTGTGTGTTGGTATGGATGTCAGAGTGTGGTTTGCATGTGTGTAATAAAAAAAATGTGTGTGCTTGCTTGTAATATTTGAGAGAAAAACTGCAAATCCCAAATCCAGCCAATGTGTCCCAGTGGAGCTTTACTGACATCTAATGGGGAAAATGCCTCCAGTTTTATTCAGTTGTGTTTTATATATTATTATATATATTGAAAATGTTGTATTTTTATGCATATTTGAATTTGCTACATGGCGATTAATTTTGTTAATAAATCTTAAATACAACTTTATTTAATTGACTAGAAGAAAAAGCTTGATCACTCCCGTTTAAAGTATATGTGAGGATTCATCTGTGAAATATGAATCTGTGGTTCACATCTGAGAAACAGTGATTTAGATTGACTATAAATCAATAAACAAAACCTTCAGCTTGAACATGCAGGTGAATATAGTTAAATCAGCATCAGACCGAGTGACATTTCAACACTCCAGCTGTTCAAAACTCAACAGAAATGCAGTTAAAGTGTTAGAAACTTCTGTCATCATTTACATCATGTTTGAGTTTCTTTCTTCTGTTGAACACAAAAGAAGATATTTTGCACAAAACAGTTAAACAGCAGATAGAAACTGGTACATGATGCAAATGATGACAGAAGTTTCATTTCTCAAAAACGGTATTTAAAGGTGCAATCTGTAATAAAGACAACTAGTGGTCGACTTTATGATACAGTGATTCTCATGTAAAAGATGTCGAACATCTTAAGGCTCTCCCTCAGAAGCTCTTTCTCTTCTGACCAACCTTGTGTTTGAACTCTTCATGTTTGAGGAGTCGCTGTGATTTGTTTTTGGATAAAAGCATCAGTTAAATGAACAAATGTAAATGTTGTGATGATTCTCTGCGTGACATTAATGAAGATCAGAAAACCATGTCAAAAAACTGCAGCAGATCCAGTACAAATGTTTCAATTTCTCTTTTATAAAAATAGATGCTTTTAAACTTCCAAGCTTCTTTTTTTTACCATATATAATCGCTTTAGGAATTTTGGCCTTTTTACATCAAGTAAACAATTTACGTTAAGTAACATTATGCAACAAAGAAAAAAACTTAAAAAACAAAACTCACAAGTCAATGTTAAAGAAACTGAATTAGTAAATGAACTTTAAAGCACTTAGACCAGAGAAATGTAGAAATCTAAAATAGAAGATGACTCGAAAACAAAACACTCAAAGTTCCAGTGGCTGTTATTCCACTGAAACAGATGTTTTTAAAAGTAAACCACTTTAAGAACACAAGCAGAAGATGAAATATTGGCTGTGTTCGGCTCAGGCCGTGTGTGTTCTGCTGGTCTTGAAGGACACCTGCAGAACCCGTTCCCCGAGCCGGTACCCGTTCAGACTAGCGATAGCGACGGCCGCCTCCTCGTAGCTGCTCATGGTCACGAAGCCGAAGCCTTTGCACTTGTCTGTGCTGAAGTCTCGTATGACCTTGACGTTGATGACGGCGCCGAACGGGCCGAAGATCTGCCAGAGGACGCTCTCGTCTGCGTCCGGGGCGAGATTATACACGAAGATACACCAGCCAGCGGCGTGAGGGAACCCGACTCCATCGATGGACACGGGAGAGAATCTGCGGCCAGAAACAACAACAAAGAGTTCAGCTGAAGAACAAACCTCTGGACTGTTCGAGGATTCACTAACGTGCAGCACATACCCATCACTTAAGATCTTCACAAACAACAATTAATGAATAATAAAAATTAGAGCTAAAAAAAAAAAAAAACGCGTGTAACAGTATATTGGATCCGTGCAGCTCTTAAACTGACAGCGGCCTAATAATAATAATAATTCATTTCATTTATATAGCGCTTTTCTAGGTACTCAAAGCGCTTCACATGGAAGGGGGAATCTCCTCAACCACCACCAATGTGCAGCATCCACACAATTCAGTTAATCACAATATTCCTGTTAATGTTAATCAAACAACAAAAGACAAAGATAAAATCACTCACTGCTCTCGATTCAATAACTTTTGTAACTTTAACAAGGATTAATCTATATTTAATTATACAGTTAAGACTATGCAGTGCTATTTTACATTTGATTATTAATATTCTCCACCTGTAAATTACTGTAAGACTTAACTGATAAACATGAAAAGCAAGATTGTTCTATTGCTCATAATTTGATTATTTGTTCTAAGTTTATTACTAACAGTTTATTTGTCTAACAATAGTTAGGCTAGTAGTTTTTGGTGTCACAATCTTATTTATTACGGTTATGGGTCAAACACAACGAAGACAATAACTAGGCCCATTTAAATGTATTTATTACGTTTTGTGTATGGTCCTGTGTCAGAAGTGACATGAGACTCACATGTACCTTTTGACTCCATAGGAGGCGTTGAGCAGGTTGTCCAGCCTGAAACAAACACACAGACTCAGTGAACCAGCTCAGACTCGAGCGAGCAAGGGAATACCTGAATCTGTGCTCAGGGTGCATGAGGGCGAGGGAATACCTGAATCTGTGCTCAGGGTGCATGAGGGCGAGGGAATACCTGAATCTGTGCTCCGGGTGCATGAGGGCGAGGGAATACCTGAATCTGTGCTCCGGGTGCATGAGGGCGAGGGAATACCTGAATCTGTGCTCAGGGTGCATGAGGGCGCTTGAGGGCGAGGGAATACCTGAATCTGTGCTCCGGGTGCATGAGGGCGAGGGAATACCTGAATCTGTGCTCAGGGTGCATGAGGGCGAGGGAATACCTGAATCTGTGCTCCGGGTGCATGAGGGCGAGGGAATACCTGAATCTGTGCTCCGGGTGCATGAGGGCGAGGGAATACCTGAATCTGTGCTCCGGGTGCATGAGGGCGAGGGAATACCTGAATCTGTGCTCAGGGTGCATGAGGGCGAGGGAATACCTGAATCTGTGCTCAGGGTGCATGAGGGCGAGGGAATACCTGAATCTGTGCTCAGGGTGCATGAGGGCGCTTGAGGGCGAGGGAATACCTGAATCTGTGCTCCGGGTGCATGAGGGCGAGGGAATACCTGAATCTGTGCTCCGGGTGCATGAGGGCGAGGGAATACCTGAATCTGTACTCCGGGTGCATGAGGGCGAGGGAATACCTGAATCTGTGCTCAGGGTGCATGAGGGCGAGGGAATACCTGAATCTGTGCTCCGGGTGCATGAGGGCGAGGGAATACCTGAATCTGTGCTCAGGGTGCATGAGGGCGCTTGAGGGCGAGGGAATACCTGAATCTGTGCTCCGGGTGCATGAGGGCGAGGGAATACCTGAATCTGTGCTCCGGGTGCATGAGGGCGAGGGAATACCTGAATCTGTACTCCGGGTGCATGAGGGCGAGGGAATACCTGAATCTGTGCTCCGGGTGCATGAGGGCGAGGGAATACCTGAATCTGTGCTCAGGGTGCATGAGGGCGCTTGAGGGCGAGGGAATACCTGAATCTGTGCTCCGGGTGCATGAGGGCGAGGGAATACCTGAATCTGTGCTCCGGGTGCATGAGGGCGAGGGAATACCTGAATCTGTACTCCGGGTGCATGAGGGCGAGGGAATACCTGAATCTGTGCTCAGGGTGCATGAGGGCGCTTGAGGGCGAGGGAATACCTGAATCTGTGCTCCGGGTGCATGAGGGCGAGGGAATACCTGAATCTGTGCTCAGGGTGCATGAGGGCGAGGGAATACCTGAATCTGTGCTCAGGGTGCATGAGGGCGAGGGAATACCTGAATCTGTGCTCAGGGTGCATGAGGGCGATGGAATACCTGAATCTGTGCTCAGGGTGCATGAGGGCGCTTGAGGGCGAGGGAATACCTGAATCTGTGCTCAGGGTGCATGAGGGCGAGGGAATACCTGAATCTGTGCTCAGGGTGCATGAGGGCGAGGGAATACCTGAATCTGTGCTCAGGGTGCATGAGGGCGCTTGAGGGCGAGGGAATACCTGAATCTGTGCTCCGGGTGCATGAGGGCTAGGGAATACCTGAATCTGTGCTCAGGGTGCATGAGGGCGAGGGAATACCTGAATCTGTGCTCAGGGTGCATGAGGGCGATGGAATACCTGAATCTGTGCTCAGGGTGCATGAGGGCGCTTGAGGGCGAGGGAATACCTGAATCTGTGCTCCGGGTGCATGAGGGCGAGGGAATACCTGAATCTGTGCTCCGGGTGCATGAGGGCGAGGGAATACCTGAATCTGTGCTCAGGGTGCATGAGGGCGAGGGAATACCTGAATCTGTGCTCAGGGTGCATGAGGGCGATGGAATATCTGAATCTGTGCTCAGGGTGCATGAGGGCGAGGGAATACCTGAATCTGTGCTCCGGGTGCATGAGGGCGAGGGAATACCTGAATCTGTGCTCCGGGTGCATGAGGGCGAGGGAATACCTGAATCTGTGCTCAGGGTGCATGAGGGCGATGGAATACCTGAATCTGTGCTCCGGGTGCATGAGGGCGAGGGAATACCTGAATCTGTGCTCCGGGTGCATGAGGGCGAGGGAATACCTGAATCTGTGCTCCGGGTGCATGAGGGCGAGGGAATACCTGAATCTGTGCTCCGGGTGCATGAGGGCGAGGGAATACCTGAATCTGTGCTCCGGGTGCATGAGGGCGAGGGAATACCTGAATCTGTGCTCCGGGTGCATGAGGGCGAGGGAATACCTGAATCTGTGCTCCGGGTGCATGAGGGCGAGGGAATACCTGAATCTGCGCTCCGGGTGCATGAGGGCGAGGGAATACCTGAATCTGTGCTCAGGGTGCATGAGGGCGAGGGAATACCTGAATCTGTGCTCAGGGTGCATGAGGGCGAGGGAATACCTGAATCTGTGCTCCGGGTGCATGAGGGCGAGGGAATACCTGAATCTGTGCTCCGGGTGCATGAGGGCGAGGGAATACCTGAATCTGTTCTCCGGGTGCATGAGGGCGAGGGAATACCTGAATCTGTGCTCAGGGTGCATGAGGGCGAGGGAATACCTGAATCTGCGCTCTGGGCTCATGAGGGCGAGGGAATACCTGAATCTGTGCTCCGGGTGCATGAGGGCGAGGGAATACCTGAATCTGTGCTCAGGGTGCATGAGGGCGAGGGAATACCTGAATCTGCGCTCTGGGCTCATGAGGGCGAGGGAATACCTGAATCTGTGTGCGGGGTGCATTAGCGCTCCAGCGTAGCGTCTGCCGGCCGACACACACGGCAGGCTCTTCTGACTGGGGTTGTTGGCGAACTTCACAGTGATGGGCTCAGTGGATCCGGGCGGCTTCTGTGCGTTCAGCCCTTTAATGGCCTCCTCGGCCTCTGTGCGCCGGTCGAAGCGGATGAAGCCCACGCCTCGCGACACGCCTGAACACCACACACACACTTAGCACAGTATTCAGGCCTGAACACCACACACACTCAGCACATTAGTACTGTTCTGCCCTCGTAGAAATCACAACCTCAAATAATACAGTAGAGATCATGTTTATTTATTACAGCAGATTTAGGGTGTGTTAACAGTTGTGTTTCGGTTCTCTGGTCCGAACCAAAACAGAAAGCAGCGTATTTGCTAAACTCTAGTGTGAAGGAGCCCGGCTTCAAAGAGAGAGTATTAGACTATAATACCCTGTAGAATTAACATACTACATGTAAATGATACTCTTTAAAGTTCAGCCTTTAAACCCAAGCAGAAGCCAGTCGGTAGTGGGCGGAACGAATACGCAAACGCTAGCGCTCACCTACTCCTGTCCCCGGTTTGATTCCAGCAAATCAGTTCGAGCGAATGCTGACAATGTGATTAATATTCATGAACCCATAGTATATATTATTCTGGTGAGTAAACTAAAAAAGATTTACTTGCCAATGGCGATTCCATTGCCAAGGTGTGTGTCGAGGGTTTCCAGGGTTCAGATGCAGCGTTCAGACTGTTCACCAGAACCGCACTAACAGAGCAATCGCAAGTTCGCTTCAATTTAACCAAACCCGCCCTGTGTGAACACACACTCGGGGAGGAACACGGACCGGCTGAATGAGCAGAATATCTCAGAGATCAAACTCACAAAACTGTTAGTCTTTCCTTGTCTGTCTTCTTTGTCAGTGTCAGTAAACACAGATGAACTGGTTTCCAAGTAGTTTACACACACACACCTGAGAGCTGGTCCAGTAGTACACACACACACACACACCTGAGAGCTGGTCCAGTAGTACACACACACACACACACCTGAGAGCTGGCCAGTAGTACACACACACACACACACATACCTGAGAGCTGGCCAGTAGTACACACACACACACACCTGAGAGCTGGCCAGTAGTACACACACACATACCTGAGAGCTGGCCAGTAGTACACACACACACACACACACCTGAGAGCTGGTCCAGCAGGATCCTGGAGGTGATGATGCGGCCGAACGGGCAGAACAGCAGGTCCAGCTCGCTCTGGGTCATGGTCTTCGGGAGGCCGCTCACATACAGGTTAGCGTCGCGGATAGAGGCGGAGCTCGGGCGAGCGAACGACACCTGGACAACACACACACACACACTCACTGGGACAGGCACCTGGACAACACACACACACTCACTGGGACAGGCACCTGGACAACACACACACAATCACTGGGACAGGCACCTGGACAACACACACACACACTCACTGGGACAGGCACCTGGACAACACACACACACTCACTGGGACAGGCACCTGGACAACACACACACAATCACTGGGACAGGCACCTGGACAACACACACACACTCACTGGGATGGGGACCTGGACAACACACACACAATCACTGGGACAGGCACCTGGACAACACACACACACTCACTGGGATGGGGACCTGGACAACACACACACACACACTGGGATGGGGACCTGGACAACACACACACAATCACTGGGACAGGCACCTGGACAACACACACACACACACACACACACTCACTGGGATGGGGACCTGGACAACACACACACAATCACTGGGACAGGCACCTGGACAACACACACACACACACACACACACTCACTGGGATGGGGACCTGGACAACACACACACACACTCACTGGGACGGGCACCTGGACAACACACACACACTCACTGGGATGGGGACCTGGACAACACACACACACACTCACTGGGACAGGCACCTGGACAACACACACACACTCACTGGGATGGGGACCTGAACACACACACACACTCACTGGGACAGGCACCTGGACAACACACACACACACACACACTCACTGGGACAGGCACCTGGACAACACACACACACTCACTGGGACAGGCACCTGGACAACACACACACACTCACTGGGACAGGCACCTGGACAACACACACACTCACTGGGACAGGCACCTGGACAACACACACACACTCACTGGGACGGGCACCTGGACAACACACACACACACTCACTGGGACAGGCACCTGGACAACACACACACACACACACACTCACTGGGACAGGCACCTGAACAACACACACACAATCACTGGGACAGGCACCTGAACACACACACACACACACACACTGGGACAGGCACCTGGACAACACACACACACACACACACACACTCACTGGGACGGGCACCTGGACAACACACACACACACTCACTGGGATGGGCACCTGGACAACACACACACACACTCACTGGGACGGGCACCTGGACAACACACACACACACACTCACTGGGACGGGCACCTGGACAACACACACACAAACACACACTCACTGGGATGGGCACCTGGACACACACACACACACACACAATCACTGGGACAGGCACCTGGACAACACACACACACACACACACACTCACTGGGATGGGGACTTGGACAACACACACAATCACTGGGACAGGCACCTGGACAACACACACACACTCACTGGGATGGGGACCTGGACAACACACACAATCACTGGGACAGGCACCTGAACACACACACACACTCACTGGGATGGGGACCTGGACAACACACACACACTCACTGGGACGGGCACCTGAACACACACACACACTCACTGGGACAGGCACCTGGACAACACACACACACACTCACTGGGATGGGGACCTGAACACACACACACACTCACTGGGACAGGCACCTGGACAACACACACACACTCACTGGGATGGGGACCTGGACAACACACACACACACACACACACTCACTGGGATGGGGACCTGGACAACACACACAATCACTGGGACAGGCACCTGGACAACACACACACACTCACTGGGATGGGGACCTGGACAACACACACACTCACTGGGACAGGCACCTGAACACACACACACACACTCACTGGGATGGGGACCTGGACAACACACACACACTCACTGGGACGGGCACCTGAACACACACAAACACTCACTGGGACAGGCACCTGGACAACACACACACACTCACTGGGACGGGGACCTGAACACACACACACACACTCACTGGGACAGGCACCTGGACAACACACACACACTCACTGGGATGGGGACCTGGACAACACACACACACACACACACTCACTGGGATGGGGACCTGGACAACACACACAATCACTGGGACAGGCACCAGGACAACACACACACACTCACTGGGATGGGGACCTGGACAACACACACACACACACACAAACACACACTCACTGGGATGGGGACCTGGACAACACACACACACTCACTGGGATGGGGACCTGGACAACACACACACACACTCACTGGGACAGGCACCTGGACAACACACACACACACACACACACTGGGACAGGCACCTGGACAACACACACACTGGGAGAGGCACCTGGACAACACACACACACTGGGACGGGCACCTGGACAACACACACACTGGGAGAGGCACCTGGACAACACACACACACACACACACTGGGACGGGCACCTGGACAACACACACACACTCACTGGGACAGGCACCTGAACACACACACACACACACACACACACACACACACACTGGGACAGGCACCTGGACAACACACACACACTCACTGGGACAGGCACCTGAACACACACACACACACACACACACACACACACACACACACTGGGACAGGCACCTGGACAACACACACACACTCACTGGGACAGGCACCTGAACAACACACACACACTCACTGGGATGGGGACCTGGACAACACACACACACACTCACTGGGACAGGCACCTGAACACACACACACTGGGACAGGCACCTGAACAACACACACACACACTCACTGGGATGGGGACCTGAACACACACACACACTGGGACAGGCACCTGAACACACACACACACACACTGGGACAGGCACCTGGACAACACACACACACACACACACGGGGACAGGCACCTGGACAACACACACACACTCACTGGGATGGGGACCTGAACACACACACACACACACTGGGACAGGCACCTGAACACACACACACACACTGGGACAGGCACCTGGACAACACACACACACACACACTGGGACAGGCACCTGAACAACACACACACACTCACTGGGATGGGGACCTGAACACACACACACACACACTGGGACAGGCACCTGGACAACACACACACACTCACTGGGACAGCCACCTGAACAACACACACACACACTCACTGGGACAGGCACCTGGACAACACACACACACTCACTGGGACAGGCACCTGGACAACACACACACACTCACTGGGACAGGCACCTGGACAACACACAGACACACACTGGGACAGGCACCTGGACAACACACACACACTCACTGGGACAGGCACCTGGACAACACACACTCACTGGGACAGGCACCTGGACAACACACACACACTCACTGGGATGGGGACCTGGACAACACACACACACTCACTGGGACAGGCATCTGGACAACACACACACACACACTCACTGGGACGGGCACCTGGACAACACACACACACACACACACACACAATCACTGGGACGGGCACCTGGACAACACACAAACACACACACACACACACACTGGGACGGGCACCTGGACAACACACACACACACACACTCACTGGGACAGGCACCTGAACACACACACACACACACACACACACACACACTGGGACAGGCACCTGGACAACACACACACACACACACACTGGGACAGGCACCTGGACAACACACACACACTCACTGGGACAGGCACCTGAACAACACACACACACACACACACACTGGGACAGGCACCTGGACAACACACACACGGGGACAGGCACCTGGACAACACACACACACACACACTGGGACAGGCACCTGAACAACACACACACACACACACTGGGACAGGCACCTGAACAACACACACACACACTGGGACAGGCACCTGAACAACACACACACACTCACTGGGATGGGGACCTGAACACACACACACACACACTCACTGGGATGGGGACCTGAACACACACACACACACACTGGGACAGGCACCTGAACACACACACACACACACACTGGGACAGGCACCTGAACAACACACACACACACACTGGGACAGGCACCTGAACAACACACACACACTCACTGGGATGGGGACCTGAACACACACACTCACTGGGATGGGGACCTGAACACACACACACACACACTGGGACAGGCACCTGGACAACACACACACACTCACTGGGACAGCCATCTGAACAACACACACACACACTCACTGGGACAGGCACCTTGACAACACACACACACTCACTGGGACGGGCACCTGGACAACACACACACACTCACTGGGATGGGGACCTGGACAACACACACACACTCACTGGGACAGGCACCTGGACAACACACACACACTCACTGGGACAGGCACCTGGACAACACACACACACTCACTGGGACAGGCACCTGGACAACACACACACACTCACTGGGACAGGCACCTGGACAACACACACACACTCACTGGGACGGGCACCTGGACAACACACACACACTCACTGGGATGGGGCCCTGGACAACACACACACACTCACTGGGACAGGCACCTGGACAACACACACACACTCACTGGGACAGGCACCTGGACAACACACACACACTCACTGGGACAGGCACCTGGACAACACACACACTCACTGGGACAGGCACCTGGACAACACACACACACTCACTGGGACAGGCACCTGGACAACACACACACACTCACTGGGACAGGCACCTGGACAACACACACACTCACTGGGACGGGCACCTGGACAACACACACACACACTCACTGGGACAGGCACCTGAACAACACACACACAATCACTGGGACAGGCACCTGAACACACACACACACTGGGACAGGCACCTGGACAACACACACACACACACACTCACTGGGACGGGCACCTGGACAACACACACACACACTCACTGGGATGGGCACCTGGACAACACACACACACACACACACACACTCACTCACTGGGACGGGCACCTGGACAACACACACACACACACTCACTGGGACGGGCACCTGGACAACACACACACACACACACACACACTCACTGGGATGGGCACCTGGACAACACACACACACACGGATCTTACCTTGATGGTTTTGGCCTGCAGTTTGAGTCCATTTAAAATACTTATGGCTTTGTCTGCATCTTTGGGCTCCACATAGTTCACAAACCCATAACCCAGACTCTGACCTACACACACACACACACACACACATTACGGATCTGAAGCTGCCATGAGACTCATCACTGTAGGGTCAGTCATCAGGTCATGTGACTGTTTGAACTCATGTATGTCAGTGACTCAGATATTATGAACCCTTGCCTAAACACACACTCTCACTAATGAGCCTCAAACATCATATCACGACTGAGCAGTGAAAACTAGCACTAGCCAAACTACCGTTAGTGAAAACTAGCACTAGCCAAACTACCGTTAGTGAAAACTAGCACTAGCCAAACTAACGTTAGTGAAAACTAGCACTAGCCAAACTAACGTTAGTTAAAACTAGCACTAGCCAAACTAACGTTAGTGAAAACTAGCACTAGCCAAACTAACGTTAGCGAAAACTAGCACTAGCCAAACTAACGTTAGCGAAAACTAGCACTAGCCAAACTAACGTTAGCGAAAACTAGCACTAGCCAAACTAACGTTAGCGAAAACTAGCACTAGCCAAACTAACGTTAGCGAAAACTAGCACTAGCCAAACTAACGTTAGCGAAAACCAGCACTAGCCAAACTAACGTTAGTGAAAACTAGCACTAGCCAAACTAACGTTAGTGAAAACTAGCACTAGCCAAACTAACGTTAGTGAAAACTAGCACTAGCCAAACTAACGTCAACGTTAGTTAAAACTAGCACTAGCCAAACTAACGTTAGTGAAAACTAGCACTAGCCAAACTAACGTTAGCGAAAACTAGCACTAGCCAAACTAACGTTAGCGAAAACTAGCACTAGCCAAACTAACGTTAGCGAAAACTAGCACTAGCCAAACTAACGTTAGCGAAAACTAGCACTAGCCAAACTAACGTTAGCAAAAACTAGCACTAGCCAAACTAACGTTAGCGAAAACTAGCACTAGCCAAACTAACGTTAGTGAAAACTAGCACTAGCCAAACTAACGTTAGTGAAAACTAGCACTAGCCAAACTAACGTTAGTGAAAACTAGCACTAGCCAAGCTAACGTTAGTGAAGACGTTTTTTGAAGCTCCTTGAAGACCCAGTCAGAACAAAGAAACAAATGAAAAGTAATAGGACAAATAAATATAATAGAACAAAGATGAAATAAACTGTTTAAAATGTTCCTGTAAGTCTAACAGTGCGTTCAGGAGCAGAGACTCTCTCTCAGTCATCATCAATGCCAGGCGGCAGTGGTTATTAGCGCTCACTTTAAGAGCTGCACGGATACAACTCACTCACACACACTCACACACTCACCGGCCCAAAAGTTATGAAAGACATCGTTAAAATAGTCCGAGTGACTACAGCGTTATATAAATGAAGATGACGACTTGACTACGGCCGCCAGGCGTAACTTCTCTACGGCCGCGCGAGCTAGATTGAGCGCCAGGCGTAACTTCTCTACGGCCGCGTGAGCTAGATTGAGCGCCAGGCGTAACTTCTCTACGGCCACACGAGCTAGATTGAGCGCCAGGCGTAACTTCTCTACGGCCGCGCGAGCTAGATTGAGCGCCAGGCGTAACTTCTCTACGGCCGCGCGAGCTAGATTGAGCGCCAGGCGTAACTTCTCTACGGCCGCGCGAGCTAGATTGAGCGCCAGGCATAACTTCTCTACGGCCGCACGAGCTAGATTGAGCGCAAGGCGTAACTTCTCTACGGCCGCGCGAGCTAAATTGAACGCCAGGCGTAACTTCTCTACGGCCGCGCGAGCTAGATTGAGCGCCAGGCATAACTTCTCTACGGCCGCGCGAGCTAGATTGAGCGCCAGGCGTACCTTCTCTATGGCCGTCACGAGCTAGATTGAGCGCCAGGCGTAACTTCTCTACGGCCGCACGAGCTAGATTGAGCGCCAGGCGTAACTTCTCTACGGCCGCGCGAGCTAGATTGAGCGCCAGGCGTAACTTCTCTACGGCCGCACGAGCTAGATTGAGCGCCAGGCGTAACTTCTCTACGGCCGCACGAGCTAGATTGAGCGCCAGGCGTAACTTCTCTACGGCCGCGCAAGCTAGATTGAGCGCCAGGCGTAACTTCTCTACGGCCGCACGAGCTAGATTGAGCGCCAGGCGTAACTTCTCTACGGCCGCGCGAGCTAGATTGAGCGCCAGGCGTACCTTCTCTACAGCCGCGCGAGCTAGATTGCGCGGCGATTGAGCGCCAGGCGTAACTTCTCTACGGCCGCGCGAGCTAGATTGAGCGCCAGGCGTAACTTCTCTACGGCCGTGCGAGCTAGATTGAGCGCCAGGCGTAACTTCTCTACGGCCGCGCGAGCTAGATTGAGCGCCAGGCGTAACTTCTCTATGGCCGCGCGAGCTAGATTGAGCGCCAGGCGTAACTTCTCTACGGCCGCACGAGCTAGATTGAGCGCCAGGCGTAACTTCTCTACGGCCGCGCGAGCTAGATTGAGCGCCAGGCGTAACTTCTCTACGGCCGCGCGAGCTAGATTGAGCGCCAGGCGTACCTTCTCTACAGCCGCGCGAGCTAGATTGAGCGCCAGGCGTACCTTCTCTACGGCCGCGCGAGCTAGATTGAGCGCCAGGCGTAACTTCTCTACGGCCGCACGAGCTAGATTGAGCGCCAGGCGTAACTTCTCTACGGCCGCGCAAGCTAGATTGAGCGCCAGGCGTAACTTCTCTACGGCCGCACGAGCTAGATTGAGCGCCAGGCGTAACTTCTCTACGGCCGCGCGAGCTAGATTGAGCGCCAGGCGTACCTTCTCTACAGCCGCGCGAGCTAGATTGCGCGGCGATTGAGCGCCAGGCGTAACTTCTCTACGGCCGCGCGAGCTAGATTGAGCGCCAGGCGTAACTTCTCTACGGCCGTGCGAGCTAGATTGAGCGCCAGGCGTAACTTCTCTACGGCCGCGCGAGCTAGATTGAGCGCCAGGCGTAACTTCTCTATGGCCGCGCGAGCTAGATTGAGCGCCAGGCGTAACTTCTCTACGGCCGCGCGAGCTAGATTGAGCGCCAGGCGTAACTTCTCTACGGCCGCGCGAGCTAGATTGAGCGCCAGGCGTAACTTCTCTACGGCCGCGCGAGCTAGATTGAGCGCCAGGCGTAACTTCTCTACGGCCGCGCGAGCTAGATTGAGCGCCAGGCGTAACTTCTCTATGGCCGCGCGAGCTAGATTGAGCGCCAGGCGTAACTTCTCTACGGCCGCGCGAGCTAGATTGAGCGCCAGGCGTAACTTCTCTATGGCCGCGCGAGCTAGATTGAGCGCCAGGCGTAACTTCTCTACGGCCGCGCGAGCTAGATTGACCGCCAGGCGTAACTTCTCTACGGCCGCGCGAGCTAGATTGAGCGCCAGGCGTAACTTCTCTACGGCCGCTCGAGCTAGATTGAGCGCCAGGCGTAACTTCTCTACGGCCGCGCGAGCTAGATTGAGCGCCAGGCGTAACTTCTCTATGGCCGCGCGAGCTAGATTGAGCCGGCTGAGTGAGCGCACCTGTGATCTTGTCCCGCACGATCTTGCAGGACTCGATGTCCCCGATGCTGCCGAACAGACTCTTCAGCTCGTCCGGCGCCATGTTCTGCGGCAGGTAGTTCACGATCAGGTTGGTTTTGCTGTCGTCTACGGGGGACGTGCAGATCGCCTCGTCACACACCTGCATCTCCATGGCGACGATCACCTGCTTCAGACACGCGACCAAAACAGGAAGTGACATCAGATTAACCATTCAAACACGCCACATTTGAAGATTGGAGAAGCAAGACTAGAGAACTCGATCAGAGATGATTTTTAGCAAAAAACAAGTTGAGAAATGCGAAACTATTCATTTTAAAAGGACCGACAGGAGTGTGTGAGAGAGTGTGTGAGGAGAAAGCAGCATTTCTTGACATTATTTTCACGGCACATGCGCTTTAGCTCAATACTTTCGGTTCGGACTGTAAAACAGGATTTCTGCCGTCGATTATACTAACAGACAGTAAAAGATCAAAGTTGGGATTTTAAGAAACATTCAAATGAAGATCACGATTAATCAGTGACCCTTTTATGACCCAGCTAAAGATAATTGCTTAAATCAAGAACATTTACATAAATATGAATGTAAAACAACATACAAACTAAATGCCACAAAACTCCAATTAAGATTTCAGTTATTAGCTTTTAATTGAAATGACGAAAACAGGTTTTTAATTTCATTAAACGCCTCAGTGAAACACCAGCTGATCTGATCAGAGAAACACACACACACACACAATACATGCTGTTGTATAGTCAATATGTAGTGACCGTAGCTTCTGCTCACTCCCATAGACCACAGCGGCTGGAAACACTGTGTAACAACCAACTCAAGCCGAGTGCATTCGAAAAATAGAATAAAATGATATTTTATTTTTAATCACATTGAGTGAATGATTCAATGACGAGCATTTTCTAGCGGTCTCGTCTCCCCCTACTGGTGTAACGATGTAATGATACAATCTTTACTCGAAGCATCAAGTTTCTTTCAAAAGGTGATTTGGTGTTTTTGATCGTTACTGTAGAAATCAGTGATACGATAACTCTTTATATTTAAAAGCCGATAACCGATATATTGGCTGATAAATCTAAATCCAAATTTTTATATAGTTTTTGAGAGCCTGATTACAAAACCAAAAGTCTCATTAAAAGCCACGTCTCAAACACACAATTATAATGTTCTCATAACTCGATGTAGCCGATATGACAGACTTGCACATGCTGCACTTTACAGTATTTTCCCTTTTTGAAGTGTTTCCAATCATATTTAAAGCAATTCATAACCATCATGTTGAACAGTGCGCATCTGAAGCGTCTCAGCTGAAGGAAATAAAGTATTTATCAGCTTTAATATATCGGACAAATTCTCACATCAGGCCGATAACGATAACATTACAAATAAACATTATGTTTACAGTGAAATTATACTCAAGTCGTTACATTTGTACAAAATACCACTATTGACCACAGCAAAAATATATCTGTCGCAAACATTATCTCTTAATTACGGTTTTCTGAATAATGTTATTCGGCCCTGCTCTCCTCCAACTCAGTTTGTATTTTTTTCGGTTTTGAACATCAGTATAAAAGGTTTGAAAATAGAATATAAACGTATATAAACGTTTATAGAAGCCTGTAGTTTCATAGAGTTTGTGTCTGAGTGCTAAGTTAATTTATATAATTTGAAATAAGTAATTATTTAATGCATTTTGTGCCAACGGAACGATACATTTTCTTCAGTTTAGCTCAAAAAGACTGATGTTGTGATCACTGTGTGAAGAGTGTAGAAGACCATTAATTCGGATTCACGCCAGTATCATGACGTGACGTTCAGGTCTGATGAAGTCACGTGACGGAGTTTGACGCGTTTAGAGCCGCTGATTCACAACGGTAGATTCGTAAATGATTCGCAGCTTCATGAAACGTGCTGCGTCCCAATTCGCATACTATCCGTCCTAAACAGTATTCGAAAATAGAATTAGTACGTCCCAAATCGTAGTATGTTGAAATGAGTGTCCCAAAGAGACCCGGATGGTCTACTATATCCGGTCAGAATCCGAAGTGCAGATCGATGCGCACTCTAACGGCTGATATTGCCCACAACCCATCGCGCGTTGGACGAGGATTCGGTTAGAACTACAAACACGAATGAAAAGTGTTCAAAAACTACAGACATGGAGGACGCGCGAGTCCGGCGGTTATGTAAAGAGGTTTAGATAAAGGGGTTTGAGTGATTAATTATCAGTATCTAACCTGACGAAAATGTATTTATTCAATGTTGTCCACATTATATTGCATCTGCGGCAGCATTGTGAACTTTTGCAAAGATACGTTTAGCCATTAACTTTTAAATGCATTATTATATTCAAATTCCAAACACATGAGGAGAGTCTCCGCATGAAAGGCCCATGACTGGCAGATGAACGTGCGACAACAATTCTCTCCGAAATGGTAAGAAGTTATATTAGATTGAATGGAGGATTTTAACTGTGACAAGATGATTGACAGGGCAGTTTACGGTGATAGGATGCACGCGACAGATCTGTACGTTGAAGATGAGGAAGTAGTATGTCCCAAAGCTTGCCTACTCTTTTGCTACACACTCAAAAGTATGTACTTTTTCTTCACAAAAAGAGTACATACTTTTAGGGCGTAGTATAAGTAGGCGAATTGGGACGCAGCGTCAGTGTTTGGGAAGCTTCACTTCACTACCTCCAGCATCAGCAGGGTTAAACACACAGCTAAAGACGCCAATAACAGGCTAACTTCTGTTAAGAGTTCACCACAACCACAACCACAGAAAAGCATGGGGTAAATAGAGACACAAGTTAGCTCGGCTAAATAACTCAGATACACACAGGATTGCACAGGTAACCTCAGGTGTGTAAACGGGTAACGTTAAACGGGGAACCGAACTAGTGCTTTCCTCAGACACAACACGCGCAAAAACTGTAGAAATACAGTGTAAATGTACATTATAAAACTAACGAATGAAACATTAGACTACCAGTTCTCACAAACAAATCAGATTAAACAGCTTTTACATTTAGCGAGGAAACATTTATATCAAAAATAACCGCCCAATGTAGAAATAGATAAAATAAATCGCTTTATTACCTGATGTGGGTTTATATCACCGGTGTGCACTGATCAGCGCGCGCGCACGGTAAGGTGGGCGATGGCGGGAAACAGCGGCTCTAAGAAGACTGGCATGTGAACGAGCCAATCATGGAGTCTCGTTACGATTCCCTCACACGCTATTGGACGGTGTGAAGCGCGAGGGCGGAACCTGCGTGAAACAGCAGGTGCGGCGGATCAAGGTGTGATGAGGATTGGATTCAGGGTCATTTACTAAAAAGGAAAACGTTTTTTTCTTTGCGTTTTTCGCGTAGGCCGACATACCAACCAGACGTTCACATATCGCGGGAACGGCTAAAGGCGCGGTGTTCTTCTGCCAGGCCAGTAGGTGGCGATGCCAAGAAGATGTCAAGAAACACTGGCACGCGCCTATAGACTTTTTTTTAAATATTATCTAAATATACGAAAGGACTCACATATCGAAACAGTTTTAATTGCTTTCTTATTATTTGAATGAGAAATAGTCTTCATATATATTTGAATTTCTTTTTCAAGAACCAAAAACTAAGGTCGGGTTCTACTCTTCTTACATAATGTAAAAGAACTTAAGCAACAATTATAAATTAAATTCATAATAGAGTATTTTTTTCCCTTTTATTTGAGGGTATATTAGAAAAAAACAAATATAAAACCAAAACCAATGTATTGCAAAATGAACAGTTCAAATCAATACCCTTTTTAAATTCAATAAGAAAATGATCTGTGTAAGACTTTTTTTTCTTTAACTTTATTTACCACTAAATATGTATTTGGCAAAGTCCAGATGTCCTTCCATAATAATAACCCTTTCACGTATAACAACACAGTTAGTGTCCGAATATCCGCGTCTCCGGAGATCTCCGAGATGATCCTTCGCTGCCTTTGATATCCCACAATCCTTTGCGCTCCGTGGAGCTAAAAATAAAGATGGCGTCTGAAATTTGATGTTGGTGGTCAGTTTGTGTAAAGTGTGCATTTTGACCAACTTTTCTCATTTTTTGATGACATTTCTAGAGAAGTTAGTATTGTATGAATTAAATATTCAATGTTGTTATGGATCATTAAACCGCTGCGCTGCCTCAGTCTGTCTGAATCTTCATTAAAGTCTCTGTCGAGGTTTCGATGCAGCCAATGAAGTACAGAACCACTAGTTAATTTTTATTTTATTTTTATTGCATAACAGAACAATAACAACATACAGAGGATCATCACCATGTATTCAACTAGTATCTATTACATTCATAATAGCATCAAAGGAAAAAATATATATAGGCGGGCATTTCTCTGATTAAGGGCCAAATTGGGTTGCTGCAATTTTGAAAATTAAAATCCCAAATTTGACTAATTGGTATACATCAAATTATCAGTCCTTAAGTACAACGTTATGAGCTTGGTTGAGACCATAGATAAGGGAATTTATGATTTTTTGCCATTTTTTTTAACTATGTCAAGTAAATGTGTCATTACCATCATATCATCGAATGTATGTAAAAAAATAAAACTTAGATGATAAATCAGTGCTTTTAAAACATTCTGTGGTTTCACATGGAATATATTTTATCTTGAACTTAAAGTCCCCATGAATTCTAAATTGACCATACTAAAGCACCTTTCACACAGCGCTTTGAACCCGGCACATTGCCAGAGTGCCTTCTGTGTGAACGCAAACACGGCCCGGGACTGATGCCGGGGTCAATGCCGGGATCGATGCCGGGTTGGGGACCGAGTAACATTGCCGTGTTCAGACCCGGAACGCGCGCTGTGTGAACAAAAGCCGTAACCAATGCCGTGTCGTAATGATGATGCTGAAGTGAAGTGAAAGCAGGCTAGTGAAACGGTACGTAATGCGCTAGTTTATGATCGAATCAGAGAAAACAATGCACAAGCGGGGTTTCTCCAGAGAGAGATCGCAGCTCATAAGCAAACTATACACGTATACATGTCACATCGATGTCACGCGTCTTTCCGGAACACACACGGGTTGTGTGTGAACGCGCTCTCTGATTCCGGCAAATCACTGGCAGTGTGAATGAAGCAAAATCAAACGAACCCGGGTCAAATCCCGGGTCGCTTTATCCGTGTATTTTCCGGAATCTCTGTGTGAAAGGGGCTTTACTTTGTTTGCCTAAATTGATCGTTTTGTGGTGAACAATTCATCCATGCAAGTCAATCCACACAAAAAAAAAATGTTTGGCTTCATAATCTTTAATCACAATCTGAAATGTCCCCTCCCCTCTGCATTGGAGGACCTTCCCTGATGACGTAGGTTTGACGGGTTGGGCGTCGGCTTAACATCCGTAACCACGCCCCTCCAACTGACTGCAGACAGGCGGAATGACAACACCTACTTTTCTAGATCCAATCTGGTGCTAGTTGGAAAAAAGGCCACGCCCACTATTTTTCCTCATTTAGTATTCCGTTCCTCTCGGAAATACGTCACAACACTGGAGAAAAGTCGTTTGCAACTTCCGGTTCACGGGGACTTTAATGGGATTGTTGATTTTTACTTGCAAGATGAATTACAGTCATTTAAAGGGCAACTCGATGAATGTGTATTTAATATTGGTCATTTATATAGTACAAATGTGAAATTATTTTTGAAATTTAAGCATTCTAGACTGAGAAAAGGCAAAAAAAAGGAATTTTTTACTCATGTGGCTGAAAGACAACAACTCCCAGAATGCACTTGCTTTGCTGCCCTTACGAGGCCACTCCCAAACCACGCCGGTTACAGGCGGCAGAATCCGAAAAATGGACACAACTAGGCTTGCTTTGATACATCGTGAATTAGTTGATACATTTCCATTTGAAATGGTGCTAAATTGCGTTGTACCGGGATGTACTAGCCTAATGTATATAACACAACTTACACTTTCACATTAAAAATATGATGCAAGGCAGGACCATGTCAACAGAGTAGCTTAGCTTAGTAGCTCTGCATGTGAACTGTATTCCTCCAATTGAAATCACTATTTCTCTAAGCTAATACATTCTCTAGGCTAATCCATACTCTAGTAACACTAAAGGTTTATAAGAAGAACCACAGCCAAAAAAAAAAATTAATATTAACACATTTACAGTCAAAGCTCTGTGGATTCAGCGATCTCCTCCAGAAGAAAATGGCATCGCTGAGATTGGCGACAGCAATAGGACTCTATATCTGTTTCCATCGGTCTGGCCGGGCTCAGGTCGCACAGCGAGAGCACTGACACCGGGCCGCCCCAGCTGGAGTCTGGCCGGGCTCAGGTCACACAGCGAGAGCACTGACACCGGGCCGCCCCTGCTGGAGTCTGGCCGGGCTCAGGTCGCACAGCGAGAGCACTGACACCGGGCCGCCCCTGCTGGAGTCTGGCCGGGCTCAGGTCGCACAGCGAGAGCACTGACACCGGGCCGCCCCAGCTGGAGTCTGGCCGGGCTCAGGTCGCACAGCGAGAGCACTGACACCGGGCCGCCCCAGCTGGAGTCTGGCCGGGCTCAGGTCACACAGCGAGAGCACTGACGCCGCCGGGCCGCCCCAGCTGGAGTCTGGCCGGGCTCAGGTCACACAGCGAGAGCACTGACACCGGGCCGCCCCAGCTGGAGTCTGGCCGGGCTCAGGTCACACAGCGAGAGCACTGACACCGGGCCGCCCCTGCTGGAGTCTGGCCGGGCTCAGGTCGCACAGCGAGAGCACTGACACCGGGCCGCCCCTGCTGGAGTCTGGCCGGGCTCAGGTCGCACAGCGAGAGCACTGACACCGGGCCGCCCCAGCTGGAGTCTGGCCGGGCTCAGGTCGCACAGCGAGAGCACTGACACCGGGCCGCCCCAGCTGGAGTCTGGCCGGGCTCAGGTCACACAGCGAGAGCACTGACACCGGGCCGCCCCAGCTGGAGTCTGGCCGGGCTCAGGTCGCACAGCGAGAGCACTGACGCCGCCGGGCCGCCCCAGCTGGAGTCTGGCCGGGCTCAGGTCGCACAGCGAGAGCACTGACACCGGGCCGCCCCAGCTGGAGTCTGGCCGGGCTCAGGTCGCACAGCGAGAGCACTGACACCGGGCCGCCCCAGCTGGAGTCTGGCCGGGCTCATGTCGCACAGCGAGAGCACTGACACCGGGCCGCCCCAGCTGGAGTCTGGCCGGGCTCAGGTCGCACAGCGAGAGCACTGACACCGGGCCGCCCCAGCTGGAGTCTGGCCGGGCTCAGGTCGCACAGCGAGAGCACTGACGCCGGGCCGCCCCAGCTGGAGTCTGGCCGGGCTCAGGTCGCACAGCGAGAGCACTGACACCGGGCCGCCCCAGCTGGAGTCTGGCCGGGCTCAGGTCGCACAGCGAGAGCACTGACGCCGCCGGGCCGCCCCAGCTGGAGTCTGGCCGGGCTCAGGTCGCACAGCGAGAGCACTGACACCGGGCCGCCCCAGCTGGAGTCTGGCCGGGCTCAGGTCGCACAGCGAGAGCACTGACACCGGGCCGCCCCTGCTCGAGTCTGGCCGGGCTCAGGTCGCACAGCGAGAGCACTGACACCGGGCCGCCCCAGCTGGAGTCTGGCCGGGCTCAGGTCGCACAGCGAGAGCACTGACACCGGGCCGCCCCAGCTGGAGTCTGGCCGGGCTCAGGTCGCACAGCGAGAGCACTGACACCGGGCCGCCCCTGCTCGAGTCTGGCCGGGCTCAGGTCGCACAGCGAGAGCACTGACACCGGGCCGCCCCGACACCGGGCCGCCCCAGCTGGAGTCTGGCCGGGCTCAGGTCGCACAGCGAGAGCACTGACACCGGGCCGCCCCAGCTGGAGTCTGGCCGGGGGTTAGGTCGCACAGCGAGAGCACTGACACCGGGCCGCCCCTGCTGGAGTCTGGCCGGGCTCAGGTCGCACAGCGAAAGCACTGACACCGGGCCGCCCCAGCTGGAGTCTGGCCGGGCTCAGGTCGCACAGCGAGAGCACTGACACCGGGCCGCCCCAGCTGGAGTCTGGCCGGGCTCAGGTCGCACAGCGAGAGCACTGACACCGGGCCGCCCCAGCTGGAGTCTGGCCGGGCTCAGGTCGCACAACGAGAGCACTGACACCGGGCCGCCCCAGCTGGAGTCTGGCCGGGCTCAGGTCGCACAGCGAGAGCACTGACGCCGCCGGGCCGCCCCAGCTGGAGTTTGGCCGGGCTCAGGTCGCACAGCGAGAGCACTGA